AGCTCTCTGCGGTCCCGGCCCCGGCTTCCTGACCACTCCCCTCCTGCAGTCATGCGAGACCAGCGAGTCACGGGAAAAGCTGTGGTTGTCCCTCCTTGACGGTCTCGTCTCAGCCCCGCTCAGAATTCTCGCCCCCTCTGAGGCTTCCCCGGGCCCCTTGGGCTCAGCTGAGCCACCTTTCCGAGGGCCCCTCCGTGTCACTTAGATGTACCATGATTTTCTAAAACCGAACCTGCAGAACTGCGTGTGCCAGAGAGCGGGAGACGGACCGTGGTCTCTCCCAGGCTCGGGCTCCGCCCGTGGCCCCGGCACTCCAGACCCGCTTCCCCTGTTTCTTCCCTTCTCCTCGGGCACCGGCCGGGCCTGGGAGCCACCCCGCCGGGAGGGCTGCACCCTCGGCCCAGCTGCAGTTTCCGAAGCCCACCCGCTGCCTCTCATGACCGGGTCCACACTGCTGTGCTTCTGTTGGGTAGAAAACGAGGGGAAAAGACAACAAACAGGCCCGGCCGGTGTGGCTCAGGGGTTGAGCGTCGACCCTGCACCAAGAGGTCGCTGGTTTGATTCCCGGTCAGGACACATGCCCAGGTTGTGGGCCCGATCCCCAGTGGGGAGCATGCAGGAGGCGGCCAATCGATGTTCTCTCATCAATGTTTCTCTCTCCCTCTCCCTTCCTTTCTCTAAAATCAATAAAGGAAAAAAAAATTTTTTTAAAGTAATAACAAACAGTGATATTTTTGACTTTTCAAAAAAATTAGCCTGGCTGATGTGGCTCAGTGGTTACAGCTTCGGCCCACGGACGGGAGAGTCCCGGGTTCGGTTTCCACTAGGGGCACGTAGCTCGGTTGCAGTTTGTCCCCGGCCCCGGTTGGGGTCATGCGGGTGGCAACCACTCGATGTGTCTCTCACGTCAATGTTTCTCTCTCTCTTCCTCCCGCTCTATCTGAAGATAAATGCAAAATGTCCTCGGGTGAGGATAAAAAAAATAATAAAATAATAATGGAATCCTTTCCATTGTTATGATGTTATCTAAAAGCCCACATAGTAACCCAGATAAACATGAGGCCCTGGGGTGCCTTCCTAGGGCACAATTTGAAAAGCAGTTCATTGCTGGGGTTTGACACAGGCCGCACCCCTCACCCCACGTCCACCCAAAGAACTTGATGTTCTGGGCTTGCGAAGTGCTGAGTGGACAGTGACAGTGGTCAGGACTCTGCCTGTTGGGGGCAGAGACATGGAGTCGCGTGGTTGACACAGGATGGCAAGGGCGTGGCCTCTGGGCTGGACCCGGCCCCTTGTCCCCTGGGGTAGGTGGCCCTGAATCACGTCCCTGTGCAGCGTGGGGGGGGGGGCTGACTCCCCACGGGCAGTTCCCACCAGGACACAGGGCACCTGGAGAAAGAGGGTTTCTGTGCCGAGGGGGAACCATGAGTGGCTGCTTTACAGTGTTTCTTAAACTTCATCATGCCTCACAGTGAAAACCTGGATTTAATTTGTCTATGGACTCACAGAACCGCACCTGATGTTTTATACCACTTCCCACCTCCACCACACCTTTGTCTTTCATTGAATTCTGGGATGCAAGGGTGCCCTCCAAGTCTTAGCACCATTTTAAGTTTCTGTTTGTTTGTTTTGGTACGTGCCCTTAGCGGGAACAGAACCCGGGACTCTCTGGTCTGCAGGCCGACGCTCCAACCGCTGAGCCGGACCGGCCAGGGCTTAAGTTTTGTTTTGTTTTGTTTTATCCTCATTCAAGGACATTTTTCCATTTTTTGTTCAGGTAGAGTGGGAGGGAGAGAGAGGAACAGAGAGAGAGAGAGAGAAACATCGACGTGAAAGGGACACATCGAGTGGCTACCACCCGCACAACCGACCAGGGCCGGGGACAAACTGCAACCAAGGTACGTGCCCTTAGCGCGAACTGAACCCGGGTCTCTCAGGACCGCAGGCCGACGCTCTAACTGCTGAGCCAAACCGGCCAGGGCAGGGCTTAAGTTTTAATAACATTTGAATGCTAAGTTTTTCATTTGAATTCTCTGTGTGTGCCAGAGTCGGGGCGGGGGATGTGGAGACTCGCCCATGGCACCTCAGACAGCTGGGCGACCTTGCTGGAGTCCACTGCGTCCACACTGTCACAGGTGCACAGGTCTTGGGAGGCTGACATGACAAAGCAGTCCCTTCTGTCACTGCCCATCACCACCCATGAACGTGTTTCAAAGTCTGACAACCAGCCAAGGCCACGTGGAGCACCAGGTGGTGGTCTTGTATGAATCTGAATAAGAAACATCAATATATTTAAAATGTAAATAACAAGACTTCCTAATGCCATTTTTTGGTATGTTTGTAGCATTTGTGCTTCTGAAGTTATTAAAAGTTTAAAAGTGCACTCATGCCCTGGCCGGTCTGGCTCAGCGGTTAGAGTGTCGGCCTGCGGACCAATGAGTCGCGGGTTCGGTTCCGGTCAAGGGCACGTACCTTGGTTGCAGTTCATCCCCGGCCCTGGTTGGGGTTGTGCAGGAGGCAACCAGTCGATGTGTCCCTCTCATGTCAATGTTTTTCTCTCTCTCTCTCCCTCCCTCCCACTCTATCTGAACAAAAGTGGAGGAATGTCCTCGGGTGAGGATAAAAAAATAAAATGTAAAAAAAAAAGTGCACTCAGAATGGCTGCACGGTATTAAAAATAACAGAATCGCCAGACTGCTTTCATGACCCACCTGAGGGGTCACAGCCGGTTCAGAAAGCACCCCGCTTCCCAGTCCAGCGGGAAGTCCCAGTGCAGACCAGCCTTCCCCTGGAGGGTGCTGTCGGCCGCCTGCAGCCACGTCCCCGTGGGATGACGGGTCTGCCGTGGCTTTTGAATGATCTGTCTTTCCTCCTGAACACCCTTTCCTTCAGGACAGAGACTGTGCTGGTCGTTATTATTGCTCTTTCGATCTTTATGTCCCTCAAATGTAATAGGAGAACTGACCTCCTCTCTGGTCTCAGTATTTAACTATTTCTTGGGGCCCAGCCCTGAACAGGTTAATGGCTGTTGGTCTCTTTCTTTTTTTTTTAAACTAAAGAAAAAAAAATAGCCTAATCTCACTGTTCACAGACTGTGTGTAGCATTTTAAAAATATGTTGAGAGTAATTCATGCATATTTATGAAATCCAAATTGTACTGAAATGTGCAGGATGAGAAGCAAAAGCTGCCCCGCCCCCCGCCGCCGCCCCGGGGGTAGCTGCTGTCCTTGCAGGAAACTTCTCGGCGTTTATGAGCGTATATGTGCACATCCATTTTAACAAGAAGTCTGCACCCCTCTCACGCTGCACTTGCGTTTCCTCTCGGTGATTTACCTTGACGCAAAGTCACATCACTGCGTCAGGTGCCTCCTCTGTCGTGCTCAGTGTTGCATGTCTGCGTGCACGGGAATCTATTTAACCTGTTAATATTTTGCTGAACCAAATACACTTAACTATAACATATTTAACCCCAGGATACATATTTAGTTGTTTCATTTTGTTTCTGTTGCCCATAATCAGAGTCATTGTATAAAAACCCAGGTGGATGGTTTTCTAGTCCAGAGCGTCCCTAGAAGTGAGTTTGCTGAGTCAAGGACATGTCTCCTTTGTGGCCCCCCCACAGCCACGAAGGCGTCCTACGGCGCAGAATTCAGGAGGCGCCTGGACACGGACACCCCGGGTTCCGGCCGCTCAGGGCAGCCTCGCCCATGTTGAGATGGTGCCCAGGCCAGGTGGAGAAGAGCCAGCTGTCTGCACCCAGCTCCCCCGGCTGCACTCTGTGTGGCCCGGAGAGAGACCGTCCTTAGCTAGTGGGCTTGTGCAGACTTTGCCACCCAGCTCAGCTCAGTGTTTAGTTTGGCGCCTGCCTGGCGCTCAGTGCTCCTGCTGAGCCTGCAGACTGGCTGGACCCCCAGCCCCGGAGTCCTACAGGCCTGGCTTTGGGCTCACGCCGTGCTGCCTTCTCCACTGTGGGCAGCTCACTGTGCTCACTGCCCAGCCTTAACCTGCAGGTATTTCCGTATTTGCCCCCGGGGCTCCTCAGTCCCAGTTCCTCGGGCCACAGGCCCTCGGCACACCCTTCATCCCCTTGTCTGGAACATCGGGCACTTCCCCTCACCCTCCAGCATTCCCGCAAGCTGAAGTCACTCCTTCCTTCCACCAAGGCCATCCCAGGACGCCCCTCGCAGCCATCTGCTAATTGTGTCTGTGCGTGGGAGAGAGCCGGGCTGAGAGAGGCCGAGCTCCAATTTTGGGCAAACCAGGCACTGAACTGGTTAGGGAGCGAAATGATGTTGGAGGAAGCGGGGCCGGATGGAGCCTGTGACTAAATGCAGGTGCTCGCGGTGCCTTCCCGCGGGCCTCCTGTGCGCCTCACCGAGCGAGGGCGCGGGCGTCCCGGGGCCACGTGCCCCAGAGGCATTCAAACGCTCCGACCAGCCCTGGCCGGCTTGGCTCAGCACACGGAGCGGACCAGAGAGTCTTGGGTTCGATCCCGATCAAGGGCACGTACCTCGGTTGCGGTTCGGTCCCTGGTCCTGGTCGGGGTCATATGGGAAGCAACAGGTTGATGTGTCGATGTGACTCTCACACATTGATGTCTCTCTCTCTCCCTCCCTCCCCCACTCCATCCGAACATAAATGAAAAATATCCTCAGGTAAACCAGCACCCGCCCGGAAGAGGGACTGAGGTGCAAGGTCAGAAACACCATTCCTGGGCCAGGAGTCTCTCCCGTCACCTTGGCCTTCCGCCTGCCACTGACCGTGGCCACCATTCAGGCCTCCGGACAGGCACCGGTGCCTTGCCCTTGTGGTCCCTTCCTCTCTCCCCGACGTTCTGCCACCACTGCCCCACCTCACCAAGGTGGTCACTTGCTGCTGCGGGACATCTCTCCTGCAAGCGAGCCCAGGGGTCAGGTTGCTTCTACCAAGGGTCAGATGCCCAGTGACTGCCACAGAGTAGGCCGGGAGCTCCTGGCACTGACCCTCTCCTTGTCCTGCAGGAAGATGAGCCAGAGCAGGACGGCGAGGAGGACTCACCCCCAGCAGAGCCTGAGGAAGAAGACGGTGAGTGGGACCCGGCACCCAGGCCACCCACCTCTGCCCCGCACTGAGGCCGGCTCTGTCTGGCCACGAATGCCACACTGTGTTGTGGGCCCGTGGGTCCGCCACTAAGGATCTGAGTGGTGGTTCAAGGGGAGTGGCTGCAGGGAGAGAGGGTGCGAGGGGCCGAGTCCTGCACGGCCCCAGGACATCCAGGTGGGAGCCCACTCCCTGCAACCCCACCTTCCTGCGCCATCTCCCCGTTCACCTCCATGGCTCTTTCAGTCTCTGCCTTTCCATCTATAGAATGTGAGCCGTCTCCAAATACAGGTGGCCCACCTCGTGAATAAACTGAGCAGGATCTAGTTCCGGGGCAGGAGCCCTGCCTCCAAGCTGCTCCAGCTAACCAGCGAGACCTCCCTGCCCCAGATCCCCAGTGGCCAGGAGGGGAAGGGAGAGGCCAAGACCATGGGGAAAATTCAAACCAGGCTGAGCGTGTTTGCCCTGGGAGCCCACGGGGCCAGTGCCCTGGACAGAGACAGAACCAAACACAGTGTGGGGCTCCTGCTGGATCTGTCGTGTTTTGTTTCTCCTTAAAAAAAGCTGGAGCAAAAACAGCAAAATGGCAATATTTGTTAAATCTATATGGCAGGTACACGGATAACATATTAACTGTACTTCTGTGTATATTTGGACTGTTTCTTAGTTAGAAAGCGAGGCTGCTGCTGTGACTTTAAGTCGACTCTGGCAGACGCTGTGGAAGGGGGGTGCAGGAGTACAGGAGCCAAGGCTGGCGTGGGCAGTGGACAGGGCTGGGCTGGGGCCGCAGCTTCCAGAGGGTCAGCAGGGCAGCTGCGGAAGGGGCGGGGCAGGCGGCGGCTGTGTGGGTGGGGGACACCAGCCCTCCCAGGAGCCCTCCCTCTCAGCTGTGGGTTCTCCCAGGTTGTCAGCAGGGACCGTGGCCCCAGGGTCTGTCCCTGCCACATTAGTGGGTCCTGCTGGTGACTTGGGGACACAGAAAGTAAAAGCTGAGGCTGCTGGAGGCCCCTGGGCCCTCCTCCTTATCTGATGCTGCCCTGGACCCTCACCCCCACCCCAGCCGCCTCCCAGCCCTGGCAAGGAGGGAGGAGAGGTTTATGGCCCCAGCTGACAGAAGCAAACATGAGTGGGCTCCCTGGCCAGCTCTGAGCAGCTCAGCCCCCAGGCTGACTGACTGGGCCCCTCAGTGAGGCGCCCAGCGCATCGCAGGAGACCGCGGGGGACGTCCCTCCCCAGGGGCTGTGGCGGCCTCCTGGTCTGGCAGGACTGGACGTGGCTGTGCTTCTCTGGGACGTGACGTGCTCACGGGAAAGCCTTTTCACGTCTGCTCCGAAAACAGACCTAATCGGACCTCCCCATAAATTAAGCCTTGAGGAGTGCCCAGCTGGCAGCATTTTTGATGTTTTATTTCTCTCAAACAGTAACACAGTGCCCTTGACGTGGAGGTTAATTGGCTTCTTTGCTGCCTCCCTGAGGTCGGGGCGAGCACTGGGAGTGAGCCCCTTCCCGGTCGGCAGCTCAGTGGGATCCCACCCGTGGCGGTTTTCCGTGCTTCCTGCAACCACAGACCCGGCCCTTCAGACCGTGGCCCCGGGCCCCAGCTGTCCACCCCGTGCTGCCGGCAGCTCCTGATTCGGGGGGCCCTCACAGCTCAGCCCGGAGGGAAGAGCCAGCTAAAGGGAGTGCGGTCTCCAGTGAGGAGGGAGGGAGGGGCCACCCCGTGGCTGCGTGGACCCGTCTCACCCGGAGGAAGAACCAGGCCTCCCACGGCCCTCAGCCCCAGGCCAAGTCCTCCTGTCCCTGGCTCGGCTACCCAGTCTCACTGGCCGCCCTGCTTTGCTGGCTCTATAAACCCTCCCACCACCCCCGAGAGAAACTTCCGAGCAGCCCCGGACCCCCCGCCCCGCTGTCCTTTGCTGCTGCGCACTCATGACCAGCCGTGACCTCGGCGTTCTGATGACTTGGCCTTGCTTACTGTGTTTGCCTCGCTGCGTGGCCCCGGCACCCACAGCGGTGCGTGGGGTCTGCTGAGTGGACACAGCAAGTCCGCCCTGGGCCTGATACTAACTGCTCCCAGCCGAGGATCAGCCCCCGGGCAGTGGGCGCGGGTGCGAAGGAGCCGATGGGCGGGTGCGCACCAGACCAGAGCCGGGCGGAGTGAGCTGTTGGTGGGCCGGCTGGCGTGGCTCAATGGGTGAGCATCCACCCGTGCACCACGGTGTTGGGGAGAGGCAGACCGGCCCCCACAGCATAACGTCTGGATTTGCGTTCAGAACCTTCTTGGTTTGGCCGGGAGAAGCCGAACCTGAGAGGCTGAGGCTGCTGCCCACATGGGCCCACACCGGCTCCGGCTCCGGGGACGGACAGCAGCTGGAGGTCCGGGCTGGCGGGCGGGCGGGAGGTGCGTGAGGTTCCTGACACTGCAGGGAGAGGGAGAGGGAGGTGAGCCGCTGGAACAGCTGAAAAGAACACGTCCGTGTGGGAGGGCGATTTGCTGGTCTCCGCTTCCTGCTCAGTTCTTCATCCGCTCATGGAGATGAGACAAGACAGGTCATTCAGCCTCTGTCCCCAGGCTGGCCAGAGGCCGTGTGCCCCACACTGCAGGGCTGAGGGCCCCCATGAGGGCACTGCTCCCCAATGGGTCCCTCCTCCTGGACACGCGGCCTCTCCTCTGCCCTCGCAGCCCTCGGCTTGGGTGCCAGCTCCCTCCGGCCTGTGCCCAGCGCCTGCCTTTGCTCCGCGTCACATGTCCCCTTTCCTCCATCCACACCCCCAGTGTCCCCTCCTCAGGCCTCGAGAGCGGCTCTTTTGTTCTTTCGAAGGCAGCTGTGGCATGGAGAGAATGAGCCTGGCCGACATGGCACCCCTGTACGGCGGGGCATGGACCCCAAATCTGGGAGGCTGGAAGACCTCGTCAGGAGAGTCAGGGGTTCCTGGGCAAGACCTGGGACCCAAGGAGAGAGGAGAACCCAACACCCTAGCACAGCCTGCTTCCTAGAGATAAGCTCCCTCCATCTGACTCTAATTAGACAGCAGTGATGGGGGCTTCGGATGAGGGGCGAGAGGCCTCGCAGACAGCGGCCTGGTGAGAAGGGGCAGCCAGCCAGCTCTGGGGACGCTCCGCCTGGTCCCGGGAGAGATCCATGAGGTGGAAGGAGCGTACCCTGTGTGTACGCTGGGCACAGGCCGGAGGGAGAGGGTCCTAGTCTCTGTCCGGCTGCCTGACTTTGTCTACGTCTCCGTTTCCAGTTCCCGCGGGAGCTCCTGAGTTGCTGCAGGGTGTCCCGGGGTGTGGGAGGACCTGCGGGGCCGGTGAGGGGGGAGAGCCCGCACTCCCGAGGCCGCACCTGAGCTGGCCCTGCTGTGCACAGGCCCTCTGCCCCTCTTTAAACGGGGCCCTCTGGCTGAGATGGTTCTTTGAAAGGAACAAAGGGGAAGTGGCTAAACTTGTGGGCGGGGTCGGCGCCCAAGCCTCCCAGCCCTCACCCGTGCCCTCTGCCGTGCCCTCTGCCGCAGGAGAGCCCTTCTTCAAGTACAGCCCCGGGAAGCTGCGGGGGAACCAGTACAAGAAGATGCTGACCAAGGAGGAGCTGGAGGAGGAGCAGAGGTAGGCTGCCTCCCTTCCCCGGGCGCTCAGCTCTCTGCTGGGCCCTGCAGGGAGCCCGGCTGCCTCACCCTGTGCCCTTGTTCAGGGGCCCCGCAAGCTGCACCCACCCCGGCCATTTCCATGTTCATTTTAGGGGTTCCTTCCTGTCCTGGCATAGTCGTCCGGCTCGATTCCCCTGGAGACAGCCCCCTGGAGCACTTGGGGGGAGGATGCCAGATCCATTCCTTGCACTCCCCCGCCCCCAGAAAAGGGAAAGTAAAAAAAGGGAGATGCCAAGGAAGGGCCTGGAGGAGATCCGGCTGTTCACTTCCACGTGGTCAGGACACAGCAACGTGCCCTTCAGGGAAGAGCCGATTCCCCCTCGGCCCAGCGCCCGCGGTCACTTTCCCCGCGCCGCCAGCTCCGAGGCCCCACAGCTGCGCAGCTCCTCATTTGTAGAACTGGGCTGTCCCCCACCGCGCACCCAGAGTCCTCCGCATTCCGTCCATCCCACCCTGCCAGAGGCTAAGGAGACGAGGCAGCTAGCCGGCTTGGAAGGCCCTGGGAGAGGCCAGGCCCCATCCTGGGCCCGGCTGTCCCCACACGCATGGGCAGCCTGGGGCCTGGAGTCCTTTGGTTCCAGCTGGGGGTGTACGTTTTCTGTCTGGTGTTCCCGAGGGGCTTGGGTGATCACCCCACTCCTCAGCCCCCTTCCATCACCCTCGCCAGCCACCCAGGATCCGTCAAGAGTCAAGAGCCAGTCTGCCCTCGAGAATCCCTATTTCCCCTCTGGAGCGCCCCGGTTCTTCCCATCCTGGCACGGAGGCTTCTCCCGGGGGCGGGGGGTGGCAGTCATCCCAGCGAAGGAAGGCTCTGCAGGGGAAGGTGGCCGGGGAGCACCCCCTCCTCCCTGAGATGCCCATGATGCTGCCTCTGGTGTGACCTGGTTTGCTGCCTTTATATTTCAGGATTGAGCTGACCTCTGACCTCACTTCCCTGTAGCAAGTTCCTTAGGTCCTGAGCCACAAATATTCTTGCAAATTCTCTTGGTAAGGAGATTGACTTCTTAGACTAGTGGTGCTTCCGTCATCTTGTCTGTTAATGTGTCCCCAAAACTGCTGTCTACCTCCCCTCCTCCACCGCCTTCATAACCAGGGGACACCTTTCCGCACCCCAAGCCTCTCGTTCTGTTCTTCTCGGGCTCAGGGGTCGCTGGGTGAACAGGCCCTTTTCTCAGGGCCCCAGGTTCTGGGAGGCAATTCCCTGGTGGGCCTAATGGTCCGGCCGGTGGGGCGCCAGCGCCCTCTTGTGGGGACTGCAGAGGGCTGCAGAAACACGGCTGGTGTCAGGGTGGCAGCTTTAGTCCTACCCTGGGAAGGTGACACAGCTTCCGGAACAGTGCAGGGCGGAAACCCTGTGCTCCCAAGTTGCTCATGCTCAGAGCGAGGGCCTTGTTCTTGTAAGTCCCGTGACAGTGGGACACGGCGGGGCTCTGCCTCCTGCAGGCCGGGGAGGTTTTTGCTGCTGTGGCCGGAGCTGCCTAGCTGCAATAGAGGTTTCAGGGCCCACAAAGCCTCAGAGAGTCAGCTCTTTACAGGAAAAGTGTGCAGCCCTGGATCGAGGATAGAGAGGGCTTGACACACCCGTGGATCCCCAGAGGTCCCTGTGGACAGGCTGTGGCCAGGACCCTGTCCTCAGTCCGTGCACTGTGAGGGACCATCCGAACAGGAAAGACCAGTGAATGGACTGGATGCCAGGCCTCAGGTGGGGGTCAGGCTGCACTGTCACTGGGTTCAGAGCTGGGACCTTCGGAATGGGAGGGCGAGCCCCTTCGTCGTCGTGTGCAGACAGTAGACTGCGTTGCCCAAAAGGGTCTTTGCCGCTGGATCTTTGGGAGTCTCCGGACCTCCGATTCACACTTTGCTATTCTGTGGGGTGGGGACTGTGCCGGGTGCTGCTGTTGGGGCGAAGGAGTTCTCACCTCCTCGCCCGCAGGCTGTGGTTCCCACTGGTGCATCCGGAGTTGAGAAGGAGGGTCAGGTGGACTTCATGGTCCTTGGACACAGTTCCTCACGGGGTGAGGCTAGAGTTCATGTTCATTTTCATCACTGGCCCGCCCAGCATGCTCCCCGTGACGTCTGCTTGCTCCTCCTGCCCCTGCATGTGCTCAGCTCCCACAGCTCTGTGTGGGGCCCTCGATGCCCACCCCTCTTGCAGGGCATGGCGATGCTTGGATTGCAGACGCTGGCGCTTTGGCTCTGTTGTTTCATCTGCAGCAAGATAGTTCTGGTAGGGACTGGGACAGCCAACGGGTGTGAGGCAGCTCCGGTCCCAGCTGGGCCCAGAAAACTGCCCTGGATGCATCAGTATGAAAGACAACACGCATGTCATTGTCAAACCACTACAGCCACAAGCCAGGGAAAAGTATGCTCTCTTCTTACAACCAAACTCTGCCTGTTCCTCATTCCCTTCCTGGCACTCGGGGTCCCAGTCCAGTTGCAAGCTCATGAACAAATGAACACTGAGAGTCCCTGACCTTAATTATTAACTCAGCCAACACATAGCATCTGGAGCCTGACTTGTTCATAGTCACATGATCCCGCATTCCCCAGAAGCCTCGGTTTGCAAGTTTTCAGGGAATGGCCCTTCAGAAGCAGGACTGAAAGCAAGACACCCCAAATCTGTTCCTCCATGTGCTTAACTGGGCACCCCTCACCTGCCCTGGAACTGCTCACAGAGCCGATTCCTCTGCCCAGGGGGCAGCAAGTGGTGAGGCCTGTAAACCCAGAGGCAGCTGCTGCTTAGAAAGACCTGCTTTGCCCTGGCCAGTTTGGTTCAGCGGTTAGAGCGTCGGCCTGCGGTCCGGAGAGACCCGGGTTCGGTTCCCGCTAAGGGCACGTACTTCGGTTGCAGTTTGTCCCCGGCCCTGGTTGGTCGTGCGGGTGGCAGCCACTCGATGTGTCCATTCACGTCGATGTTTCTCTCTCTCTCTCCCTTCCTCTCTCTCCCTCCCACTCTATCTGTACAAAAAATGCAAAAATATCCTCGGGTGAGGATTAAAAAAAAAAAAAGAAAGACCTGCTTTGCCCCTGCCTGCCCTCCTCCTCGCTGTCCTCTGGGGCCCGGGCTCACGCGTCCGTGGCATTGCCTCTGCCTGGCTGGGGGAGTCCCTGGTTCCCACCACAGCTCCTCCGGGAGGTTCACCTAGCCTGCGTGTGGCTGGGATGGTGGCTGGCTGGTGACTGCGCCCCCCCAGCAAGATGTTCCCTCACCCCAGAGCTAGTGAAGCTGGTGGGCTTGGCTGGCTTCTAGTTTGGCAGGAAAAAGACGAAGCACCACCACCCACTCCCGTCCTTGCACACCACTCGCTCTTCTCATCTCTGGTCCAGAGGAAAACTGGAACCCAGGCTGGCTTTGATGGAGGACCCGGGACCCCAGCACCAGCTCCATTCTGAAGGACTGTCCTGACCTTGCTGGCATGGACACAGTTCTAGTGGAAGGTGTTTTGTATGGCATAATGGGCAAGGGTGAGAGGAGGCAGAGGAACCCCTGCGGTGGGATAGTCTCCTAGTTTCTGCTGCCTGACATATCCATGAACAATCCCTGGGAGCGAATCTCTAGAAACGTGCGCCGACTCTCACCTCCAGAAGAGGGCGCCAGAGGGACAGAAGTGGATCCCTGCCTTCCCTCAGTGTGTCTGTTTTTGTATGTGTCGTTTTAAAAAAGGGAGCACGCTGTTGGCCTCATCTGGGGGTGTACTAGTCCTAAACTGTCAACCCGGCCAGTGGGAATAGGAAATAATCTGGGGTGATCAGACCATCCCAGCTCAGCCACAGGCCAAAAACCAAGGTGCCAGTACCCGACCCACCTACCTACCCACATGCAGGCTCTGACCTGATTCCCCAAATGCCTCGCAGGCTGAAATGGGGGTCAGTGGGCTGTCGGGCTCCCGTGCAGGGTCCCATGTGGGGGCCTGGCTCAGTGGAACAGACTATCTTGCTGAAGGTGCTAAGAGGCGAACTGCCCCTCGCTGACTGAGGAGCCAGCGTCCAGCCAGGCTTCTGCAATTCCAAGCATCCTCCTTCCTCATCCCATCCCCCTCTTCTCCGTGGTACTCGTAAGATGGAGTGAGTGAATTATCTTTTCTCCCTGTTTCTCGTTACAGAACCGAAGAATAATGAAGTTACCCTTAGCGCCCTCCCAAAGGCTTTTCCTTTTGGCATCTTAAAAGCTTGAGAGAAAATGAAACCCCCAGAGTAGCCTGCGGGCTCCCGGTGCATTTGGCCTGCTCCGTGCTGGACGCAGACCCTCAGCCAGGACCGTCCTGGCTGAGAGGACCCCGAGGGGACGCCTTTGCTCTCCTGTGGGGTGTTCCTCGTCTGGGTGGATTGCTTTGTTAAGCTGAAGGGATTTAGAGTTTGTTCTCACTCCCTGAACTTCGATTTTTCTTATCGCTCAGTCCTGCCCTCCATACACCCTTCACACCCAAGATAGCCACAGGGTTATCATTTTTAATCAGTTAGTTTTATTCCAGCCCTCCTGCTTTTTCCTTCACTGAAGCCAAACCTTGAAAGACTTTGAGGTGTGTCAGATGAATGGGGCTGAGCTGCCCTAGCCCACCGGCTGGGTCAGGGACAGCCCACTGCCCTCTGCTGGGGCGTCCTCCCTCCGGCTCTGCCTGGCTCAGTGGCTGGGGGTGAGAGACGCTGATGGAGGGCTGAGCAGCGGAGGCCCAGGGCCAGCGGCTGCTGTACCGTCCCCATGCTCCCTTTAGAGAAGGCTGAAATCAGCCTCCTGTAGCTCAGAGGCCTTTTCACGATGTTCTCCCCAGTTCAGCCGAATCGCCACCTTTGCTTTGGCTACAGCAATAATAATAGTGTTCGCTTCAAATCGATTTCTCAACCGATGCCTCTTCCTGGAGAGTCGCAGAGATGAGTTCGAAATTCACCAGAGAACCAGCTCGGGCCCAGATTAGTTTCCTGGAATTTTATATGTGACAATATTTATACTATGCCAAAGTAGTCTATCGTTTTTAGCTATGTTGGTTAAAACATTTTTTAAAGCAATAAGTTTATAGGAAATGTTTTTCCATTTAATGGAAGCCTGGGAGTGTCCAATATCAGCCTCTAGGGCATGTTACGTTCCCAGTGGCCTTCTCTGGGCCTGAGGTTCAGGGGCCTGGGGCAGAATAGGCAATGAAGCAACAGCCACACAGACCCACGTGATGAACAGAGCTTACACGTGCCCACGTGGCAACAGCAGTGTCCTCGTCCGGGCTGGGATCTCACTGACTCCAGGTAGTTCTCTGAACTGCTGGAAAGTTCTGAACGTGGGCGCCTGACGTACTCCTGACGGCTTGGATCTGTGTTCGGCCTCTGCTCGGCCCAATAAACTCTGAGTAGATGATCTTGATCACTGTGTGTTTTTTTCAGTTTTGATTTGTTTTAAAAAAATAATCTCCTTAAAACTTGAGCTTTCTCTCATTGCGATGCCTGGTGTTCCCCAGCAGAGCACGCAGTTCTCGTCCACCATGTTAACCACAGGCAAGCGTCACGGCCGTCAGAACACAGGAGGGCATGTGCGCTCAGGGGGGCGTCCCACGCACCAGGCTGAGGCCGTCCAAGGAGCTCCGTACATGCGCCTTCCATCCCCAGTACTGTCCTTTCCCCAGACGGCGGGCACACACTGCAGAAATTACTCTCCCACAGTGGCTGTGATTTGGGACTTTATAGCACTTCAGCTTCCAGATGCCACTCTAGTCAGAAAACCAACTGCTGGATGGGAGACAGGGTTCTTGCAGCAGGGACGTGTTAGGACAAGTGTAAGAGAGGACATCGGGACCCCTGCCCAGGATGCCTTGGGGGTGCTGGCCCAGGCCAACCCTGGGGGCTGGCGGCTGTGCCAAAGCCCTGCTCTGCTGGGCCTGCGGTGACGACAGCAGACCCGGCTGAAGGGTCCCACCCTGCCACTCAGTTGACATCTTCTGAAAGTGGCTCGTGCCAAGCGGTGGTGAGGTGTGGAGGGAGGAACTGCAGAAGCCTGAGGCCGGAACAATGAGCCAGTGCCCGCACGCGGTGCCCAGCCATGCCGACAGCACAGCTCACCAGGGCAGAGCAGAAACCAGCCCGCTCCCCGGTCCCTGCTGGCTCACCCCACCCTTTCATGTTCACAACTGTGGGAGCTGCTGGTCAGATGGTGTGGCTGAGCCTCATAAAGATAACAGGTGCTCCCAGCCATCCGCCCTGTGTGTCACAGACAAGCCTAGCTCCAGCCACACCTGAGGGGCAGGGACCCTGCTGTCCAGAAGTTGTCCTTGTGCAAATTAGAGAAAGGCGCCCCTTCCCCTGGGCAGTGAACCCCACACCCCACCCTTCGCTTGGCCACGCACAGGCGTGTGCTCTCATTGCCCAGCGGCTGTGTCCTCCCCCTTCTGGCTCGTTCCTCGAAGCCCAGGCCGTTTCCCACGTGTTCTGACCAGAACCACAGCCGCCGAATGGACCTCCTCCTCCCTCCCGGCCTCCCTGGGAGATCCCCAGTGATAATGTGGGGGTCCCCAAATCTCAGGGTAAACCCAGGACTGCAAACTCCAGTGTTCAGGACCCTCGAGTCGCGTGTTTTAGGCCAAAGCAGCTCCCTGTTTTGGGGGGTCTGTCTGGGCTCGGTCCCTCCCGCTCCGAAACGCTCCGCAGGGCCCGGCCCGGCTCCCCCTGGGCTCCGCCGGCTCTGCCGCGGGCCAGGGGCGTCGTCTTCCTCTGCACCTTCCTTCCCGACAGGGTTCAGAAGCAGCAGCTGGCGGCCATCTTCAAGCTCATGGAGGACAACAAGGACACGTTCGGCGAGATGTCCGAGGGCGATGTGCAGGAGCAGCTCCGGCTCTACGACATGTAGGCGGGCAGCCGCGGCCTAGGCGCCCGGGACGGCGGTGCCGGCCCCGCCCACCCGGCCTGGCCCCGCCCCCGGCCTGGCCCCGCCCCGGTAGGCCCCGCCCCGCCAGGCCCCACCCACCACGCCAGGCCCCGCCCCGCCCAGCCTCCTCCAGCGGCCCCGTGACCTTGCGCCCCAGATGCAGAGCAGAGGTACCTGTGCGCGGATCTGACGGTTCTCACGTCGCGGGAACCGGGAACCGGGGCCGGCCGGTGGTCAGGAGGCCGGCCTGGCTCCTCGGGCTCTGCCGCGGGGGCGGGGCCAGCTGGTCCAGAGGTACCCCTCCGGGACAGTCCTCCGATCCCCACTGACCCTTCCGCGCAGACCCAGCGCAGGCGGCGGCCGGAGGGGCGGGAGGCTCAGCGCCCACGCACGAGCGGAAAGGACTCGCGGTGCTGTGGGGAGATGAGGGCCAGGGCCGGCGTGCCCAGTCCAACAACGCTACGCTCTCATTCTGCCCGGAAGGGCCTCTGGAAGCTTCTGTGCTGGGATGGAAGCAGTGGGGGAGCACTCTTGGAGCAAAAAGGCGAATTCAGTGTCACCTCCCACCTGCACGAACAACTGTCAGAATCAACCCGAGTTCCATGCACGCAAGAGACTGACTTAGACAGTCGAGTGCTTGTCATGCACCTGAACTGTGCTGGACGGACCCTGCCTTTATCCTCAGCTACAGCGGCAGGGAGGGACGGGCAGGGGGGACAAACACTGACCTGAGAGACACACACAGAGTGGTTGCCTCCCGCACAACCCTGACCAGGGCCAGAGACGGGGCCTGAACCGCAACCAAGGTACTGCCCACCCAGGACCAGAATCGAACCGAAGACTCCGGTCCATGGGCCGAGGCTCTCACCACTGAGCCAAACCGGCCGGGGCTGTGCTGGACACTCCAGGTGGAAGAAACAAATCAGGGGGCAGGGTGCCTGCCTTTCGGGGGAGTCAGTCCTGTTGAGAACACAGGCCACAGGCGGGGCGAGAGAGCCTCACCAGGCAGCATTCAGCAGAATGCCCAGGCGCCCCCAGGACAATGTTGGGGACACAGCACAAGAGCAACACCTCTCTGTGGGCCAGGGAACGCGCCACACAGAATGACCGCGGCTCCGCCCCGCTGCACAGGCCTTGTTCCTGATCACTCTGCTGGCAGAAAATGTCACGCCCGCTGAGCTAGGAAGAAACCATGAAGTTGTTCTAGTTTCTGTGTGCTGGAATAAAACGAAATCAACACGGAATGAAAAGAAGCCGGGGCATTTGACGCACCTCGAGTTAGTGACGACGGGCAGGGTCCCCCTTTTCATCATCTCGTGCTTGCCAGGACTGTTCCCGGCCGCCTCCCAGCTGTCGCTGAGTCCTTTTGCGTCTTTGCTGACAACCTGCATGCTCTCTGTCTGCTGTTACATCCAAGTGTCAGTGCTTTTTACTTTTTACAAAATGTATTTATATCGCCCGGCCGGTGTGGCTCAGTGGATTGAGCGCCGTCCCACAGACTGAGAGGTCCCAGTTTGGGCTCGATCCCCAGGACGGGGCGTGCAGGAGGCTTGTTCCCTTCCCCTCTCTCTCTAAAAAATAAATAATAAAAACATATTAAAGAAAAAACCCTTAAAAAATGTGTACCTTTTTCGCTATGCTTTTAAACATTTTATGATTTGAGACTTGTTTGCTCCCCTCCTGGGGCCTCAGGGGTCCACTTCCGTCATTTCACCTGGCCGTCCCCTGAATGCACGCAGCAGGCAGGGTGGCACTGCCCCCGCGCTGTTTTCCTTTCTCCTCCTGTCCCCAGTCCTCCACTGACTGTACTAAACAGGAGTGACTCCTGGGACCTGAGCAGTCAGAACCCTCGTGGTGATGGGAAAGTGCACAGAAGGAATCTTGTGTACTTGGGTCAGCTGAGATGTTCCAGCTGCAAAGACCAGCAAACTGCAACTCAACTGTCTTAACCTCGAGGAGAGCTGGGTGTCCCGAGGCGGCCACAGCAGAAGGGCTGCGGGCCCAAGATGTCCGGGCCCAGCCTGCGACTCTCAGCACCGTCCTCAAACTGCTGACCACCTCTCCTCTTGGTTGCAAGATGGCTACAGGAGTTCAGGTGTCACACCCAGAAGCGGGAAAGGGGTCATCACCTTTTGCTTGTGTCTCTAGGGATGAGGGAACCAGTTTTCACTTCAGGTCCCAGTTGGCTAGAATATGTCATGTGTCCATGCCTCAACCAGTCACTAGCAAGGAGATGGGGCCACCGTGGTTGGCTGAGGTGCCTGGGGCTGGGTCCCTGAACACGTTGTGGCCATTCAGAGGAGAGGCAACTGGATCCCACTGGGACTCTGTAAGGAAGGGGCAGGGATGGCACTTGGCAGACACCAGGATCATACTGTCACCTGCCAGGGACTTGGAAGCCAGTGTCTGAAGAGCCGGCATACTCAGCACTCCACCTGGGCTCTTTGACTTATTTATTTTTGTTCATGCTCACCCAAGGATTTTTTTTTTTTTAAATCATCAGAAAGAGTTGGAGAGAGGAAAAGAGAGAGACAGAGAGAAACATCGACGAGAGACACATCAATTGGTTGTCTCTGGCATGTACCCCAACTGGGGCCAGGGATTGAACCTGCAACCCAGGTATGTGCCCTTGATGGGGAATTGAACCTGAGACGCTTCAGTGCGCGGGCCGACGCTCACTCTAACCACTGAGCAGCCCTGGCCAGGGCTGCCCCTGGGCTTCTAACGCTTGGAGGAAGTCCTGCTGGTGCCCCACAACTGTTGGGTGCTCTGGTGCCGTTTCCATATAAGTGACCTCTTCTGTTTATAGTGCTTCTGTCACCTCATCCGTCTCACTGGGACGGGACACCCTCAAGTCCATTTGTGGCCAGACGAATCCTCTTTTTTTTTTTTTATCCTCACCGAGGACATTTTTTTATTTTTTGTTCAGATAGAGTGGGAGGGAGAGAGAGCAAGAGAGAGAGAGAGGGAGAAACATCAACGTGAAAGGGACACACCGAGTGGCTGCCTCCTACACGACCAACCAGGGCCAGGGACAAACTGCAACCGAGGTACATGCCCTTAGCAGAACCGAACCCGGATCTCTCTGGACCGTAGGCCAACGCTCTAACCACTGGGCAAACCGGCTAGGGCCAGACGAGTCCTCTTAAAACTCACTTCAAACTGACACCCCTACCTGCCCCCCCCATATCAGTATTGCTACAGGTCAAAAAAATCAGAGTGCCTTCCGAAAAGGTACCAGCTGGTTCGAACCCATTCTTAGAAGCTTCCTGGAGTCAATGGCAAGAACTTAACACACAACCATGGACAACATCCCACCCTGCCATCTGAAACCAAGAGGAAACACCGTTTGCTCACACGTGTCAAGAAGGCAAAGCAATCCTGTTAGGGCCACTAAAAGGCTTACGGTAGGGGAGAAGAAACCAGCAGGCAGGAGGGGGAGAGCCCACACAGAGGGGAGACTCGCACCAGGCAGCCCGTGGCAGGCCACCGCTGCCACATCATTGCCACGCAGGGCCCAGAAGCCAATCGGAATGGCTCCAGGTCTGGAGGTTCAGAGACTTTCAGGGCTCAGACTTTCAGGTTCCCAGCAATGGAAACCATCTCAGAGCCTCTGATTTCTGGCCCCCACCGCCACACACACACTCCAATCACCACCCTACTCTGGAGCCCTGCTCCAGAGGTGCGCACACAAATAGCAGTGGCTTGTCACGCATCATACACCTGCAGGGTTCAAACCATGTCCACAGACAGTCCACTTCTGTTTCCCAAAGTCTCCATGCTAGAGACTTGTCAGGACCTCCTCCTCCTTCCCTCAAAGTGTGTTGTAACGACCATCACCTGGACAAATGAGGTGTTTCCTCACTTCCCGTCCTTAAAGTAACTGCCTTTTCCAGTGACTGTTGAAGGAAACATGTGATCCAAGCAGCTTTACGAGCAGCCTGAAGTGAAGGGCAAGCTTGCCGTGAACTCCACACACACAGCTCAACTCCCCCCAGCTCTTCTGATGACTTGCACTTGTTTTCAGTTTTTTTAAATCTGAAAATGTAAATAGTTTTCCTAAGAACAGATTACTTTAAGGTTGTTTTGTTCTTCCCAATTTGATTATAAAACCATGCACTTGTCCAAAGGACCTCCCTGTACTCACAGTTTGACAATGTTTATCTTCTGGGCAGTTGTCTGAACCTGGAAGATGTCAAGTGTAAGCATGGCTAGGTCCAGACAGACGAGGCTTCATGTGTTCTGAAGGCCACAGAGCCACGTCTGTGGACTCGGGCACTGAAGAACCATAGCAAGAGGCTCTGCTTCTGTCTGAGCCACAACTACAGGGTTGCCTGGCATGGCACAGATGCACAGTCATCCGTATGACCCCACCATCATCCCTGTCTGGGATCCATGTCCAGGCTCTTCTTCTCACTGTAGGAGAGTTTATGTGAACTTAAAGCAGGTAAAAGTAATTTCCTTCCCCCCCTCTTTACTTCCAGATACCCTCAGCCCAGTGGACAGCAAGGCCCAGTTATAAATAGCTTGAGGCCCACCCAGCCAAGCATTCCTGTCCTCCCAGGGTTCAGTACTGGGTCCCTGGAGAACAATGGTCAAGCTGAGCAAATTCCCATTGTCACAGACTTTTGTTTTGTGTTGTAGTCTTTTGTTTTCTTTAACTATTATCATTACTATCACTTTATTTTTATTCTATCCCTCCCCCCAAAGATTTCCACCAGATTCTCCACCACCACCCCTACTTCTTATGAGTAAACCATTTTATAGTAGTTTTGGTTTGGGCTTTTCATTCCTTCTTTTTGCTAAAAGTAGCAGCCCATATACAATGTCTCTGGCGATCACGCCATAGAAAATACTGCTGGTTTCCCCATTCTTTTTAATGCTGCAAAATCTGCTGTATAATACTATTGTAGCACCGACGCCCCACCGTTTATTCTGCCTTTTCCCTACTAATGGACATTTGCGTTGTTTCCCATGTTTTGTTAACTTAAATAATTTCA